GCAATGATTATATTGTTTTTATTGCATTAAATCGTGCCATTAATTCTATAAACAATAAAATGTTGTGTCCTGATAATTTACAATGTCAAATATATCAATTTAATGAGGTAAACGTTCCATTTTCTTCATACAAATTTATTCATTTAATATACAAAGATTTTTTATATGAAATAATAAATTATATTAATTATAAAATTATAAATACGACGTGTATATATTATAATTTAATTGATGAAGTCTTAAAAAACCTAAAAAGAGTATAATTATATGATAAAAAAGAGGTTATCTTATCTTTTATTTATAAACCTAATGGTTTTAATCAATGATATCTGTTATATTATTTTGGTAAATTTAAAGTTATAATGTACACAACTCTGCCTATTATGGGGGCAACAATTTTTTACAAAAACCAAAAAACCATACCTGATAAATTGTTTGTAATTTAAAAAGTATTAAATAAAGTTTTATTCATTCATATAATATGTTGTAGATAATATTATATGCATATTATAAGTTAAAGTTAAAAGTTAAAAAAAAACATTCTGTTAATCAAATATTTTTGTTTTTAGTTAAAATAATTGTATAGAAAAAGTTGACAACTGACTTGAGGAAACTTGAGGTTTTACAAATCAGTTACCAATTTGTAATTATTCGTAAACACGAATATATMATTTTTAACTCAAGTATAACCACCTAATTAATAATTTACGTTTAATAATAAAAAATATTAATTATAAAATTATAAATATGTATAAACATGGRGCACTAAATATTGGCGTTGGAAAAARTTAAAAAAGTTAATTTCCGACTAGGGGTGGGGCTGGGGAAACGTTTCTCCCGCCCCACCCGGAGTTTTTCAGTTATTGCGGGGGCGGTATTTGAGCAGGAATTCTGGGGATTGTGGCAGGCATTGGCAGGAATGGAGCACTAAATATTGGCGTTGGAAAAAGTTAAAAAAGTGAATTTCCGACTATGAGTGGGGCTAGGGAAACGTTTCTCCCACCCCACCCGGAGTTTTTCAGTAATTGCGGGGGTGGTATTTGAGCAGGAATTCTGGGGATTGCGGCAGGAATTGGCAGGAATGGAGCACTAAATATTGGCGTTGGAAAAAATTAAAAAATCAAAATGGGTGGGGTTGGGGAAATGTACGTGCGCGGACCGCGTCGTGTAGACTATGGGCGTGGTTACTGACTGCCGCGACGGCGGCAATACGGCACACAACGTCATCTCTTGAGCGTTATATGTTTTTCACTTTTACCAGAACAGCCTTTTAAGGTTTTAAATAATGCACTTTAGGTATGATGAGAATAAGGAACAGCATGGTCAGGATAGAATTCGTTCGCACTCGCCGCGTTCGTCGCGTTTACGTAGGACACAGCGTAACCATGGTGCGAGACAGAGCTTTGTTTGGGCGAGCATCGACAGCACAGTAATTTTTAGCTGCTATTGCAGCCCTAACTGCACGCTACAAGAGTTCAACATTTTCCACAGTGGTCTCGAAGCGTCCATCCACCTACAACTCAGCAGACAGTTAAACCTCATGGTGGCTGCTGATTTAAATGTTCACTCTGCCGAATGGGGATCGACTAAGGAAGATACGAGAGGGTCGCTATTATCGGACCTCGTGTCCACCCCTTGGTATGGTTGTCTGCAAGGGCGTCAGTCGTTTCCGCCAAAAAACTCGATTTTCGTTTCCGCCAATCATCGTTTCCGCCAAAACGAAAAAGGTTAGATTTTCATTTCCGCCAAATCTATTTTTACCTACCTATCTAAATTATAGTTTGAGAATCATTTAGAGTTACCCA